TAATCCTTCCACCATGGACTGGAGGCCCTCGAGGTGACGGACAAGCTCGGAGATTGCGCGGTGGTATATCACGTCACGCGACTCCTGGATCGCGTGACACGAGAGCAGTGGGAGAACGCTGTTGGTGCCGCGCGCGACTACCCCACGTTCGAGACACTCGAGGAGTTTTTGACGACCAAGATACGGGCGCTCGAGCGGATCGAGGCTACGACCGCTCATCCTGGTCCCAGCTCAGCACCCTCACCACCAAAGAGGGCTCACCAGACAACTCAGCAGAGCGACTCATCGTACCCGTGCGACTGTTGCAATGCGCAGCACTTTATTGTGATGTGCAGTAAGTTTCGGGAACTGTCACCGTCAGCCAGGCACAAGGTGGCAATCAACAAGCGCTTGTGCTTCAACTGCCTGGGGAGGCACAGTGTGCGTGCATGCAAGTCGCAGCGAGGATGCAAGACCTGCTCAGGGCGGCACCATACAATGCTGCACGGCACACACCCAATAGCAGCACCAGCTCAGAAGACCGGTGAGTCATCGGCCACGCCCGAACATTAAAAAGCCGGTGCAGTCGTCAAGACCAGCTCAAACGTCCGCTCATCCTACTCAACGCTGCTTGCCACAGCCTTGGCATTGGTCAACTCATCTACAACGCAGCACCCAGCGCGTCTGCTCATTGACGCAGGATCCGAACTCACCTTCGTCACGGAGAATCTCATTCGGCAGCTCAACATCCCTCGTCAATACTCAGGTATTGTCATCACTGGAATTGCAGGCAAGGAGTGTACTCGGACACGAGGAGTCGTGTCACTCACGTTACGCTCGACACATTCCAACGCAGCTGCCACAATTCAAGCTCATGTCCTCCGGACAGTTACATCAATCTTACCATCGTTCGAGGCGGAACCGGAAGAATGGCCGCATCTCAAGAACTTGGCATTAGCCGATCCTGATTTTCTCATCCCGCGGCCAGTTGACATCCTCATCGGCGCAGATGCTTATGGGCATATCATCAAGCCCAATATCATTCGGCATTCTCCACTCATGCCGATAGCGCAACTCTCCATTTTCGGATGGCTCGTTCTTGGACCTGTCAATAGGGAAGCAACACGCACATCAACGCACCATGCTTCTACTCAAGTCAACGAGGATGCTCTCAACGAGTTACTGACAAAATTCTGGGTTCAAGAGGAGGTGCCTACTCACGATGTCAACCAACTCACTCCTGACGAGCAGAGGTGCGAAGAGCACTTCAAGGCCACACACTCTCGTGATTCTTCAGGGAGGTACGTCGTCAGGATTCCGCTCAAACCCATGCAACAATTCGACGTCCTTTGGATGTCCGAAATATGTCTTGAAAAGTCCCGTTTATATCGACGTCCCGTTTATGTCGACGGATGTCTAAAATACGTCTCAAGGACGTCGTTTGGACATCCAATAAGGTCATTTACGCAGACATTTTAGGGATGTCTAAAGTATATCGTCAATACGTCTGATTTTCTATTAAATACAATTTTTTAAATTGCAATTCTTTTAAAGAATAGTAGTATGGATGAGATTATTTTATATATTTGTACTACAGATGTTTGGATAATAGTTCTGAAAAATGTCTTTTTATCGTTAAATGTATAACAGACCCCGGTAAAAAAATTTTCATGTATAATCAGTATATAAAAATGTATATAAAATTTTTTTATACAAACCAATTTTTATATAAAAAATTTTTATATACAAAATGTATACAGGGTGTGCCATTTTCATCCATCCAG